TTTCAAGAACAGCTTCACTATAGCAGTCAGTAGGGTGAGCTGCACCTGAAAGTAAAACAGCAGAGATGAGAACATTCATTCATGCTTTAGCAATGTCTCCCAAGTCTCAACATCCAAGTCCCCAGTCAGCACACTGAGATTTATGTCATAAATCTGTGCATCTCATCACTGTTCTGCATGTTCTGGTCCCTGGTAGGATTATTCCTCAAGCAGGATGCAACATCTAGAAACCCCTTCTCTTCTAAGTTTGGGAGATACAGACAACACAGCCAACACAGACACCTAAGAGCTTTGTGTTAACTGAATATGGAAGTTTTCACTGGGAGGTATTTTCTGACCAGAGCAATAATATTTGCCATCCACCCCACACACACACACACTGCATGAAATGCTACAGGCAAGATGCACAATGCCATCCTACCTGAGTGCTTTCATCATGGAAGCCCTCCAGAAAGCTCTCCAGCAGCTCATCTGCATTGTCAATCCTTTCTGCATATTCACCCACTATCCAGATCATGGCAGCTCTGGCATCTGGCTCATCCAGGGAATCCAGGTTCTCGCACAGAGTGGCAATGATGCTTTCATACCTGGTTTGCCAGAGTACAGGTAGATTACTGGGGTGAATTCAACTTGTGTTACTCCATCTCAGCCCACAGCATTCTACAGAGAATCCCACACTGAATTACAATGTCTTGCACAACAAGTAACCAGCAGCGTTTTCCCTTAACTACAGAAGATATTCCTGGGCTTTTTCTTTGTCCAAATTGAGCACTAAGCTCCACAGAGTCCTCGAGAGATTTGCAGCTTCTTTCATCAGCAAGACCACCCAGATGTGAAACTGAAGCAAAGCTGCCTCCCTCTCTGCTTTGCTAAAGGGAACATTTGATCCAACAGTTCAAACCACGAGTCTGTTATCAGATCCTGCAGCCTCACTGGCAGCTCTAAGCTGGGCATTACACTTCCCCAAAAGCTTTGCTGTAGAACAGACAACACCTCTCACTAGTTGTTTAGCTTCCCCCATTCCCATCTGTGGGTACCTCTCTCATAAGCAGGCAATCTATCTTCTAACTGACAGCAGAAACGGCCAGACAGGCCCTTGGATGCCCTGTATCACTATTTAGATGATCATGAATTGTCTGCAGAAGAACACTGCTGCTGCTGTTGAGCTGAAGATACAAAACCTTCTTGCACAAGCAGCTCAAAAGCAGCTGGGTGCTGCCTGAGCCAGAAAGAACACTTGATGGAGAAAGCCAGGAGCATTTTGTTCAGTAGTAGCTCTTTAGGACCTCAGACCATGAGATGCATGAACTGTTATGGCATTGCATACAAGTCTTCTAGAGGAGATGAGCAAAACCAGAAGCCCAATGCTGAACACTTGGTCAAATTTCCCTTCTGGCATTTTCTGCAAGAGCTTCACTGCCTCTTGATGAGGGCTTATGTTCAGCATCAACGTGAAGTGGTGGGGAGGGAAAAGCTTTCCGTTCCAACTAATAATGTGTCACACTGATCCCTCACCTAGAGCCAACACCTGAACCTACCACACCAGAAGCTGGAAGCAGAAGGGATTCTTTGCTTCCCAGACAACACAGCCACCTTTGCTCCAGAGCCCTGCTAAGCTACAAGTTTCATCGCTCTGCTCTGATGGCAGCAGACAAGGGCTCCCCAAAACCTTCTCCTGCTTTCACCTACTTGTTGGGGTACTTGCGGAAGATGTCCCTGATGACCACGATGGCCTCCTGGACCACATAGTTGACCTTGGTCTGGATGAGGTCCAGCAGGGTGCTGACACAGCGCTCTGCAGATTGCTGGAGAGAAGAACAGAACAACACAATGAAACAAGTGGAAGGAAAACTCCTGCCCAGCCCACAGCACGTGCTGAGGAACAAGACATGCAGATGAGAAAAGGTCCAGAGGTGGAAACCAAGAGGATGACAGCCACCAACTCTGTGTGTGTCCAGAAAAAACCTGCAGGTTGACAAGTGCTCATGTATGACAGTGGAGATACCAGCTGATTCCAGCTCCTGCAAAAAGTAATGGCTGAAGCAGCTGTGCCAGTAGGTAGTTGGATCACCACACGAGACCTTAAGAACACTGCCTGCATTACTACTCATACCACCCTCTTGCTGACCAGCAGGTGAAAGAGGCCACTGAACGAGCTCTCTTGGATTTGCCCAAGCTGTGGCAGTGAAGACTGAGAGTTCTGACAGGGACTGCTGGAAGATGTCTGGAGAGGTTAGAAGGCAGGAGAAAACCATGCTGTCAATGATGCAGCAAGAACAGTAGCAAAAACCAGCTCACACCAGCAACAGGCTCAGTAGTTTGGGGGTGAGGTCAATGTGTGAAGATACAGCTATAAATAGAAATCCATCTGTTGCCAATGCAGCTTTCACATGAATGAGTTCAAAATTCCCAGCCACAGGCATTGTAAAATAACAAGGGCTGGACATTGGCACACTCCAGGAACCAGAACTGGAGTTAGAGGGAAACAATTCCGGGAGGTCTATTCCCAAACAGAAGAGTGAGGAAGGACATCCCAGGAGCAATGAACTCCTGCACCACAGAGTCTGAAATAAGGACAAGGATCTGGCAATCAGCAGAGCACATATGAAGCCTCATTACACAGCTGGTGATTAATGTGAGCAGCAGACTGCTCAGGACACTGTCTAGGCAGCCACCAGCAGAACGTTCATAAGGCACTCAGGATGGAGACAGGGGGGCAGGCACCTGGGAGGATGTTTCAGTTCTAGGGAGTTCATTGTCCCCTTCACTTTCAGAGCACTCGAAGGCTGAGCAGGAGGAGGAATGAAATGGCATTTAAGTCAGTCACAGGAATCAGATTTTTCAGAATGGGCAAAAATCTCAAGGGCAAATCTCAGACTTGTAGAGATGAATTTGGGACAAGGAGAGACTAAAGCCTTCTGGTGACTTCTTGCCCCTGGCACCAGCCAAGAGAGGAGACACTACCACCCAGCATCTGCTGTCTTTGCAAACTGGCACTCAAGGCCATGAGGCTCTCCCCTGAAATTCACATAAAACAGAAAAATATATCAAATATATAAAATAATATAAAATTGTATTAATGGTATTTTATTTTTAATGATGCCTCTCCCTCCTTAGCACAACCTCACAGGTACTTTGCCACTATGGAGGCAGCCAAAAGGCAATCTGACAAGGTCCTGCTCTGGTCTCCTTTCCTGCTCATGAGGAGATCTGAGGCCTGAGACACTGATTTCATGGACACTGAACATGGCCCTGGCCCAGGAGTGACTGACACTGCTCACAGTGGGGATCTCACTGCAAGTCCTTGCTAGCCAGACACTTCAGAGCCTGCAATTTAATCCTTACCAGTTTCTCATCAACTTCCACTGGTTTTTTTATAAATACGTGGCCTCAAGGGGCACTTGGATAAATCTGTCCTAAAACAACTCTGCTCTGTAGAACCTACAGCATCAGTCACTGTTTGCAACAAGCAGTCCAGCCCTTCAGAACCTGCCACCAACAAAGCTTCAGAGCTGCAGAATTAAAAGAAAATTAAAGTTTATTTTTCTTTTCTTTAAACACTTTGAAGCCTGATTTTTTTCCAGGCAGAGCACAACATACCCTCTGAAATAGGCAGTATTGATTTTTATCCCAAGAGTTCCTTGGAATGTGAGCAGTCATGTGGGCAGAGGCACAGTCAAGCAGTCCCTCTAACAATATTTCCCTGTAACAAAACACGTCTCAGCTCACACCATCCCTTGTTAACACATTGCTATGTGAAGGTGGGCATCCCTGGGGCCTGCAATGCTCTGCAAATGGATGAAAGAGTGCCCCAACCAGAACAGCTTGCAAGCTGGAATGACAAAGGACAGCCAACCAACATTAAACTTACTGTTTTTCTGTAGGAACCAAATGAAAGCCCCCAAGATTCCTGTAGTACATACCACGCTCCCAGCCACAAGCCTCAGTGATTTCTAAGACCTGGGCTGTTGGCAGAATTTACTGTCTTACTCTTCTAAGATAGACAATCAGGCAAAAGGTAGAATCCTTGAAGGCAGAGCTGAGGCTCCCCAGAATACTCATTTATCAACAGCTTCCTTGGCTGTTCCCTGTGTCAAAAAGCAGATGTCTAAGCCTTGGGAGCTGGTGGCTGTAAGAGCACTCATCCTTCCATTAGTCATAACTCACAGTGCAAACAGCCTCTAATCAACAGAGATGCACCAGGGACAGGGATTAACCTAGAGATGAGGACAGTGTAATGAGTTTTTCTATATCTGCCCTCTTTAAAACTGGCTCTTGTCAGAGGAGTAAACAGGTCTCACCTTTAGCAGCACTGTCATCAAAGGATTGGTGCCAAAAATCAAGGTTAACACTATTTACTGAGAGAGACAATTCCACAGTTAGATGGTCACTGCTCATCTGCTGGGACATCATTGTTAGTCCTTTGCAAACTGAGTGTGACTGAGAGCCCCAGGTTCCAGGTACTTGCCTCCACCTTGATGGCACAGCGCCCGATGGCCCGGACAGCCTTGCGCACAAAGTCAACGTCCACCTCGGTAGCATATTCCTTGAGCTCTGCCAGCACCTGCAGGGAAGGCACAGCAGGGTGAGCCCTGGGCTCAGGGAGAACAACCCACGGACAAGCCATGCTACTTGTGTGCCAGGACGTGAGCAGGATGGACTCTCCCACAGCTCACCACACACGCTCAAAACCAGGACGGTCAAACTCTGCCATCAGTCTCTGCCTCTCAGACCCACTGCCTTGCATTAGGAAGCAAGATTTGCTGGCCAAAGCCAAAAGGCAGCTTGGGCTAGATTAATTTCAAAGCTCCCCTGAACAAAAGCTGGGAGCAAAGTCATCCCTGACAAACTTGCATGTTGCTGTTCCTTCCTACGCTGAAAATCCCTGGGCATGGGGTCACATCCACAGGCATGGGGTCACATCCACAGGCATGGGGTCACATCCCCGGGCATGGGGTCACATCCACAGGCATGGGGTCACATCCACAGGCATGGGGTCACATCCACAGGCATGGGGTCACATCCCCGGGCATGGGGTCACATCCACGCATGTGGATTGTTCTGTACAGTTTGTTGTACTTCTTTGTCATTCACTGCGTGCAAAGCTTTAAGCAACAACCGTGTTTGATCTCTCCTTTCCTGTGCTGAGATGAACCTCTGGATCCCTACTGGATCCAAAAGGAGGAGGTAGAGATCTGAGGACACCCTGGAACACCTGTACAGAGATGAATGACAGTGTGAAGATTTTTCCCTTCTTAACAACAAGATTTGTTATTTTGTCTCCGTGTTTTTTTCTAATGGAAAGTGAACAAGGGTTTAAACCAGGACCTGTTGGGATCTTACAGATCACTAACTGAACAGCTACTTTATTTTAAACAAATAACTTGGCTTAGAAAAAACAATTTTAAAAAGAGACACTATGCAATTTGCTTTCCCCAAAATCTCATTTGTTTCTGTTTCTTATGTCAAATATGACATCAGAAATTTCATTGTGATGTCACAGATTGCAAGGGAGAGGTGAGCAGCACAAAGCAAGGCAGCTGCTTGAAAAATCTCTAGCTGATGCCAATTGCTCAGAACAATGACAAGATAAAGAGGCCTTGAAGGGCCAGACTGCAGACAAATAAATCTGCAAGGAGTAGACAGGACATCTGTGTTTTGAAGCTTTATTATTTCCCAAGATGATCTATGTTGGACAGTACTCAGAGCACACAGGTTCAGTAACTTGCGCTTTTCAAATACTGCCCAAGTGCCCTGGATTCAACTGGTCTGTGCCTTGGACTGCAGTGGGCAGAGAGATGCAGAGGCTCAACAAGCTGCACAGGGGGGAGGTGGGTAGAGGGCTGCTCTCCTTGGGTTTTATTTCAGGGTGTACTTCTGATGAAGCTTGAAGGTTTTTCAGGAATGCTTCTTTAGAATGAGGAAGAGACTCATCTGTTAGTCTGCAGATCACAGCCCCAGACTGTGCCCTCCAGACACCACTGCCTTCCATCAACAACCTGCATTATCCAAACATCCTGCATTAGAACTGATTTGAGCCTCCCAAGAGCAAACAGAAAATTCTGGCTACATTCTCATGGAAACTGATTTCCAGAATGTTTTCCATGTGTCCAGCACAAAAAGGGTGTGAATTACTTTGCTCTGTTAAAAAAAAACCCAACACAAAAACAACCACCAGAGGAGAAAGCTGAAGAGGGCTGTTTAAAAATGTCACATTAAATGAAACTGCTCAGTGACAATTAGGAGAGGACAATAATAGCACTAACCAGAGGCATTAATCGTTCTGCATTAATGTTAGGCCTGGTAGCTAAGGTGGCACTTGAGAAGTCTTCCTTTAAGAGAGAAATTTGGATTAAAACTACATCAAAGCCAAGGAGAACCTACACTGTAAAGCAGTATCAATTCAGTTTAGATTCAGCTTTGTATAATTTCCACTCTGGAAGCAGGTTAAGGGAAAAAAAGGAAAGGATTATTTTAGCTGAAGAGTGCCTGTGCAAGGGTTCAACAATTTCACTAATACAATTGAAATTCAAAGCTCAGTAATGTTTGGCCATTCTGAATGCCTCTGTTGCAGGCACAGCCCTCACTTGAAACAAGCCTCTCACTCCAACTCAGCACTGGCAGTGACTCATGTGACAGGAGACATCAGCTCTCCCTCTGGAATTGTGATCTGTAAACCAAGCTCTGCCTCAGGGTCATGATGGAAAACATGCCATGTTATTAACACTTAAATCATGGAGGAAACGCCCAACACCTCCTACTAGCCCTACAGCAGGGACAGTGATGCCTCAAAGCCAGGCCAACACCAGCAGTGGTTACTACAGCCTCAGGCAAGGACCTTGAGAGGTCAGAACCCAGGAGGACACATCAGAACTGTCTCAGCTGACCTGGGCAATGTTTGCTTGAGAAGCCAGGCGGATCATGATGTCTAGTTTCTCCAGTTTGACATAGATGGGGTCGTTGTACTTCACAAAGAACACCTTGATTTCCTGCTTCAGGATTTCAGGCCTGGAGGGAACATAAGTGGTTTCATTCAAGACAGGCAAAAAACCGCGCACCTTGTGTTTAGAAATCTAACCAAACATTCACTGAGAAACAGAATGGTGTCCCTTCATGTCCAGGACATGCCAACGAACATACCAGGACAAAATCTGAAGGTAGAAGGTTAGAGAAAAAGATTGTTTAAATACAAACTGCAGAATTCAAGTCTCTGTAACTATGCCTATATCTCTGTCTCCTCCCTGTGAACTGCTGAGCCAACCCCTGCAGTCAGTGGACGTCAGTGTTTTCAGGGAAAGAACAGCATCCTCATCTCCACGCGAGATCCACCTACAAACTCATTTTCTGCTTTCATTTGCAGGATGCCAGTGCACAGTAACTCTGCCCTGAATACACTCACAAAGTGCTTTCCAACCTATCACACCTTTCCAGCAAGGAAGAAGAGTATTTAAACATGCAAGTGGGAGTAAACTGGTGAAAAAAAACCAACCCACTATACATGAGTGTGTCACCAGCCTGATTCTTCTGTGCTGAGGAGAACAGCACAGGCAGCTTCTACATTGAGCTTCTACAGGTCACTGTGAACTGGTTTATATCCTCCTTCCTATTTGCAATCTGATTTACAGTCTAACAGGAGGGCAGCTCTTACTGCTCTTAAACAGGTGGTGAGTAGAGAGGCAAGTAAAGAAATACTTTGTGATACTGGTACCACAAATATGTTGTAAAGAAAATCAATCCAAGCTACCAGAGTCATGAGACTGTTTACTTTGTCCCTCAAGGGATCTGACCCTGGATTAAACGAAGTGCTGTGCATGTGGAAATATATAAAGGTCTGGGATAACCAGATGCCCTTCAACAAACCAGGAAAAACACACCTGAGAGGCTTTACCTTTTCTGCACAATCAAGTTGATGTTCCTTAGGGCAACATACTGAACTTCGGGCTCTCCAGACAGCAGTGTCACCAGCGGAGGGGCAAGTTTCTTCAGCAGCATGTTGTAATAGTCAGAGTCCTTGGGAAGGAGTTCCAGGAACTTCATCAAGACCTTCACTGCTGACAGCACCACTGCCGAGTTGGCGTGGGACAGCCGAGGGGTCACCCGCTCACAAATGCTGGAGACAGAGGAATAAAGAAGGGTTCACATTCCTTTCAGAATGTCATTTTTTTCAGGTCTTATCTGCATCTAGGAGATTTATCTGAATACAGCTTCCTCAGACACTTCTCTGATTTGGTTTTATTCACGAAGAATGGGAAATGTCCTGCTTTCCTGAACACAGCGCTAGGGGAACAGGAACGACTCTCACAGCTCCACTTTCCTGCCACAGTTGGCTCAGGAGCCCCTCCAGCTCTCAGCGTCACAGTCCCAACACTTGCTCAGTTATTAGCTTTTTCTGTCCTTGCCTGGTGGCATTATCTATTCCTGTGATCTTGTCTGTCACCTACAAGCACAATTTTGGCAGAGCAGCTATCAGACAAATGCTTTAGCCCCCACAGAATCACTCAGAGGTGATACACACTTCTGGCTTGCTTGGGGGGGTTTGCTGCCATGTCAGTCAATGGTTTCTGAAAGAAAAAAAGATTTGTGACTCTGAAGAAACAGGGAAAGAATACCCTCCCAAGCCTCAGCAGATCCTACAGTCAACAGTATCCTAAACAACCCATCCCAAGTAGAAAGGAAGTTTGGGTTCATATGGTATTTCTTACAGCATCTGTCAAGTTTCTTCCCACCCCCTCCTGCATATTGCTAACCCAGAACAATCTTCTTCCCATCTGTGCCTCCCAAAGTTTCCTCTCTTGAAAGATTTGCTTTCATTCACCCTGGGATGGAAGCAGCATGGCTAACTGAAGAGCAGAGGAGTCTGGAAGTCATAGCCACCTGGTCACCTGGCAGACCAGAGCTGCTCCATCCCTCAGTTTCTCCTTGCACAGGGTAATGACACTAGTCTTGCAGTGAAGGACAGCTCTGCATAAAACAAGGTCTGCCATTCTCCCCTCTGAAATAAGGCAGCTCTGAGAGTTGAACTCCACACAAAGGAGTACTAGTAGCTCCTGCCCATTCAGTTTTACACAACACTCTTCAGAGGAATTCTGGGTGAGGAACTGGGACATGTTCACAGTTGTTCAAACTAAGCAGTCCCTTTCTGACAAAGCCAGGATAGCTCTGGCCTGACACCCTGGGGATCTCTGCAGGTTTCTTGCACTTGTTAATAGCTGTTTCTGGCACAGAAACAGAGCACAAGGGGGAGGGAAATACCAAGACTACTGTCAGGCTTTTAAAAAAGAGTGGATTGTCTGTTGTGCATCAGAAAAGTCCCTGAAGAAACTCACCAGATGCCTAAATGCCTACCCAGGATTTTGCTTGTGGGCTCGTGCCCTCATCTCTCCCTTCACCCCCCATATCACCTACATGAAATCTATAAAATTTGAGAATTCCCCTGTTCCAAGTAATTTTCCCTGCTGGTTCCTTGTTCCCTGGGGTACAGAGTCTGACTTTTTGTGATTCTAGAAACAATGAGGAGAAGGCTTGAAGTGCACAGATTAACACTCCACTACCTAAGCCTTAAGGCCTTAGTATTTAGGTTTAGTCATTGCAGCTCAATGTAAAAGCACAAGGGTGAATTTGGATTGCTAAGAAAAATAATTTCTTACCTTTCCCCTCAGTTCTGTCATAACACAGACTAGTTTTCAGTCAGAAAAAGTATTCCACTCTCAGACCTGCAGTACTTTGGAAGCCCCCAATCCTATAAGGGCTTCTTGCCTCTCTGCAAGATCAGATTTGAAAGCTCTGCTTTAAAGCAGAAAATCCTCCAAAGAGTGCTTCCAGATGGGTCAGCCATTGTTATAGGCTTAGGCTGACCCCCCCTCAACAGGGCCAGTTCCTGTAAGAACCAGTCTTTTACATGGAAAAAAGTAAAAAAAAACCACAAAAACAACAAAGCTACTGATAAACAGAGAAAGTGGTTCTGCAAAGGACAGAGGCAGGTTTCCTGCATCAGCCCAAACTACCAACACTTGTCTCCCTTTATATCTGTCTTACTTCAAGTCTTACTTGTGCTGTCTCACACCTGAGCAGAGATCTCTGTTGTCACAAGCCCTGCTGTGACACTGCCAGGAGCCTGCAGGTGCCCTGCTGACTAACCCCAGGTGGCTGGTGCCAAGAGCAGGAACAAGCATTACCTCTGAGCCTCACGGTCATCCTTGGGGTTGTAGTTGGACAGACAGTCCAGGATGAAGATCTGGCCCCACTCTGTGCACTCATTTAAAGCTGTCAGGAGCTTGTTAATGTTCTGAGGGTTCAAATCCAGCAGGTTGCTGTTGGGATGCGACTCACTGATTTCTGACAAGGCAGCCACAGCATTTGCCACCACCTGGGGAGAGACAAGGAGAGGCCATCAGGGGCTTGGCAGAGGTTAACCCAACCTTAGCACAGGCTACATGTGGGAAACAAACATAGAGATCCTGGGCAGCCACCAGATCAGTCATCAGAGCCCTCCAGAGACACAGCACAACCTCACAAACAGCCTGGAGAGCCCGAAGCTTTGACTGTATCTTTGCTCCTTGCTAAAGTCTGAAGTCTCTCAGGGAAGAAGTGAAAGAATAGCAGCACAGCAGGAGGGGGCTGCTGACACACCCAGCAAACATGGAAAGCTACCACAGATGCAAACCATTTTGCTAGAGAAATTACAACTTGAAAGTATTTCTGCTGAAAAGAAACAAAAGTTAAAGTTGCCTCTAGACACAAGGGGGACCTAGGGCCAGGACCTCACAAGAGACTTTACTCTGGAGGGAGGGAGCTAGAGGTGGCATCAGAGAGTGTGCACATATAGCAAGAACATCTCAACTTCCTGGCAGGCTCCAGGTTTCCACCCTGGCTTGTTTCAAGTAGGCATCATTTTCCCCACTTCCTGGAGATGCTCACCTGGCACAGCCAAGGTCTCAAAACGTCCAGCTGCCCTACCCACTGAGGAGTGGAAATCACATGGCACGTGGCTTAACATGATCCAAGAAATAAGAACTGCCTCCTCAGGAAGAGGAGATGTCAGGTGGCAGGCAGACTTCAGCAAGTCTGTCAGGTCACCCAGTTTGAAATCAAACACACAATTTCCCTAAAATGGACAATTTCTGCTAATTTTTTAACGCACACTTCAATTCCAAATAGTCTCCATAGCATCTGTGTGCCTGCCAGGCACTTCAGGGAGTCCCACGAGCAAGCACTCCAGCACAACTCACCAAACTATTCCTGCTGCATTTCAGACTCTATAAGGCAGCACAGGCCCAGGGTCCAGCCTGACAGGAGCAAGAAGTGGGAGTGCAACACAAACTTCTAACTCTTAGTTGTATCCTTGGAGTCAACAGTTATGTCAGCAGATGTCATGTGAAGGTTTCTTAAATAGAAGAGCTGCAGAATATGTAGACCAAAATAGAAAATCTGCAGACAACAGAAATCTTATTTGTTTAACTGACTTGAAACAGGATTTAAGCCTGAGCTTGACACAGAAAACTGAAATACCCTGTGAAAAGCCACTTTCAGGATATTTCACAATGTGTATGATGTCCAGCCCAACTCACAGTTCATACCTGCTAAGAGGAAGATCTACAGCATTATTTTGTATGGGATTAAGGAAACATTTTACCTACAACTGCCTGATCCTTTGGATGACTAAAGATGCTTTTGAAGCAGCACACTGAAAACAAGAACAGCACAACCAGAAAATTCTCTGCATTGTTGCCATCACTGCTTGTCATTAAACCAATATATTCCAAAGTCACTGCACAAGCACAGCAATGTTGATTGCTTTGCATTTCACACCTAGAGGTCAGAGATGGGATTTCAATCCAAGATTTTAAGAATTTCATTAGCTGAATGAGCCTTCTGCCACCAAAATCATTAGCGAACAGAACTGCTGTCTTCTTGTACTGTTTTAATGAGTAGCTTATTAAGACAGGCTGTTTATTCTTCCCATTATTTAATTTGCCTAATTCTGGAATGGTTAATGTGACACAGCATAAAACTGAAGTGAAAGACAATTTCATTACATTTGGGAAGTTTGCAAGTGAAGACAAATCATAAAAGCAAGTGAAAAGTACAAAACCATTGGAAAAAAGCACTTATAAAGTGAAATTGGGACTTTGGTGAAAAAAACTGAGGTAATAAAATAGCGACAGAGCTGAAGCATCAGAGCAAGGGGCCTGTCAGCTGCACTGAGGAACAGGGCTGAGCTCTGGCAAATGCACTGCCAGGCACTGCCCTCCCTGCAGCACCCGGGCCACGGCTGCCCTGAGCCCTGGGGCAACCTCAGGGCACAGCAGCTGCCCTTCAGCTTCCTCCCCTGCAGAGCTGCAGCCCATCCCCTGGAGTTTACCACAGGCAGAGGATGTGCAGAAGTGCTGGCACCAGGGGCTGCCTGGCACCCCTCTGCTCCAGCCCTGCTCTGCCTGGGAGCAAGGTCTTCTTGTTCGGATCTTCTCGTGCTCTCTTCAGGAACTACCTGGGCAGCAAACATGCAGGCATCCCAATCACAGCAGAGGATGGGACACTACATGGCAACATACCAGGTGCCCAACTGCTGTGAAAAGCAGCCACAAGAAAGGGAGTCAGGTGGCAAGATGCACCTCAGAGCAAGGGCTGTGGCCTCCTTGGGTGTCACAAAAAAAGGACTGGAAGGGCTGTGAAGCATTTGGTGGCAGCTGAGTCCTGCCGGGTGGGCTGGGATCTGCAACCCCACCGTGCAGTTACAGCTGGGCCTCACCTTTACCTTAGAGCAGTGCTGCTGTCAGCTTGGTGACAAGGAGATAAATGGAGCAAAAGGAGTAAGGGAAGGGATGGGAAACATCTTCAAACTTGAAGCAACATTTATTAACAAAAAAGTACTCTCTGGCGATTTGCACTGAACATATTGATGAGTTACAGTATGCCAACAAAAATAATTAGCATCTTCAAGGCTTTTTCCACAGCCACAGCACAGTTGAAACGAACACAGATTTCAGGAACCAGTCCAATATAAACACTGGCTCAAGTCTGCACACTCACCTCTCCTCACTGGCACTGCCACTGGCTTCAGTGGGAGGCAGGAACATGGAGCAAGATGAGCTGGGGCTGTGGGGTTTCATTCCAGGACACACAGCCCTGCTGTGCTGACAGCTCTCACCAGGTGATGCCTCAGGACACAGATAAACCAAGATTGAAGCAGTGCCCACAGTTTGAGATGCTAACAGCTACCACTCAGGTATGGAACAAAGGTCCATTAAGAAGCAGTCAACACCAGTTCATGTTATCACATCACCTGGGAACCCAGCAGGTATTCTGGCAGTCACAAAAGTGTCCTAGAAATATTTAGAAAGATGTTTTGGCCAAAGAAAATCTACAACAAAGCTGGACGTTAAGTCTTCAACTCAGCTGACACTTGTTCCTTAACAGAGCAACATAAAATAGTGAAGTTCGACTACACTGAACAGCAAGTAAAAGGTGCAAAGTGATAAAACAAGCTACAGAACAGGGTAGGGTTTTGTACCTTGAAAATAAATACTATTGCTGGGGGATATACTAGAAGCAAAGTGACAGCTTTACAAGTGGTGTAGGACAAAGTTCTACTGGGTAAGTTTCACAGCCAATTTCTTGTTTGGCTAAGGAAAAAAGCCACAAGCTTCTTCAGAAGAGTATTCTATACTTTTCAAAACATGAAATAAGTTCATTCTGATGAGAAACTAACCAGGAGTAGAATAACTTATTTCAGATGTTGGAAGGAGACTAGAAGGGCAAGAAACTACATCTAGTATAGTCTTTAATTCCCCCAAACAATGAAAAAGCAAGGCCAACCCACTAGGCACAGATATGTGAGCCAAAACAATTAACCAACAGGAAAAACTTTAAAAAGTGAACTCCATGGCAAAATGCCTCACTTGACTCAAAACTGAGAAGACAGATTTCAAGCTAACAGGTACCAAGCAGTGAGAGTCAGCCTGAAAACAACCTAGAGAGTAAAACTGCAGAGCAGATTGAAAATATAATAATAATAATAATAATAATAATAATAATAATAATAATAATAATAATAATAATAATAATAATAATAATAATAATAATAATAATAGACCCCTGGCTTGCTGATGTTTATCAGTTCACCCTGGGCACACTTCACACTATTCCAGTGCAGTCACAGCAACATCCTGTCAGGGACAGTTGAGCCCAATGACAAGAAATCTGCTTTTTGGCTGGAATTTCCCAATACGTTTAGACTCGGAGAAGTGTCACTGGGATGTGAGTAACAAACTCACAGACTCTTATTAAAAACAAAATAAACCCTGCACTTATATTACTAGATTTAACAAGAGCCCAACATTTTTAAACCCATATACAGACAAACCCCCTCTGCAGCCAGAGAGACCAGATCCAACCTCAGGGAGAGCTGCAGAGGTAGGAACACAGATTTACCAGTTATTCCTTCTGGCAGCTCAAACCTTTAGCTCTGAGCAAATGGTATAAATTACATTAACAAGGAGGGAAGGGGGTGGGTGAAAACCTGAGAGTCTGCCTACCAACCCACACAGAAAAGCTCTGCAGGGAGTGGGGGACAAGAGGGAAGCTAGACAGCTCTAGAACACCAAACAGTCAAAGCAATCAGATTATTTTGCTAGTATCCCAGGCTAATTGGAAATTAAACCAAGTGTGTAATGGAGTTAATGAAATACAATGTTCTGCTGCTTGAAACAGGAACCTCTGGCTCACCATCCCACTAAAATTAGGAGAAAATTAAGAGGAGGAGGAAAAACAAAAATGCTCTGAAAAGATGCTGAGGAAAAGGAGCCTTCCCCACATAGCTGGAGGCTCCTGCCCTCCAGAGAGCCAGGCACATGTGATGTTTTCCAGAAGAGGTGCTGACATTTCCTAAGAGCATGCTGGGCTTGCTTGGTGCACTCGTGGCATTAAGCACAGACTCCCAGATGGGACATTAGGAGCAGCTGCCTGGGTGAGCATTTCACAAGGCCACTTGTCTTCATGACCAGAGGATCCTGTGTGCCTGCAAGGCCCCCAGCAAGCTCCAACATAGACAAACTCTGGAGTACATGACCCCTGCTTCTGCTCATGGTAATTATGTCTTTCATCTACAAGCCCCCCTTTCCTTTGCTTCCCTAGAAATGGTCTATGAACTATTAAAATGGCCCAAGCAGGCAAGTTAGAGCCCATGTGAATCTCACACCGTTAACGCATTTAACATACATGGATTCAAACTGAAACCCTGGGGGACTAATTCATCCCCAGGCTATGAATCATCTTGGAAGGCAGCAGCTCACCTGTTCAGCCTTAATTGTGACAGATTCCAGGGCTCTGGGTATGTCATTCATCTTCCACTAATTCCATTGCAGAAGGTTGTACTTCAGCGCCCAGAAGTCTGGAACAGCCCTGCTGGATACGTGATCAGCTCCTGAGCACAACCCAAACACTGACCAGGTGGGCAAGACCTCCTGCTTGTCTCTTTGCAAGTGGAATTAAGTTTTCTGGAAGTGGCAATGGAAGGGAAGTCTAGGCATCATGTCTCCCACAGTGTGCTCACCCTAACTGGTTTTTGCACTTCCCCACTCCTACTATGCACTGCAGAAAGATGCCACTTTGTGGCAGACAAACTCCTGCTCTCGTGTCCTTGCCAAAATCCACGTGTTGGTGGTAAGTCAGGAAACCATACTTCCCCCAGCTGTTGTACCTCTTGAGATAGGTGGGCCAGAAGCTGTTCAAGTGTGGCTCCAACATAAAGGGTTTCTCTTTGGTACAGCTGAGCCCCCAGAAGCCACAGAGGAACTGCAGTTCCCTCCCTATGCTTCTTCCAGAAAGCACCATGGTGTGATCCCAGCCTGGGTCAGGCACCTATTACACACCAGGAAGGGGTTTTTTTCAGGTATTTTGTAAGGCTCTTTGCAATTTTCCTTGCAGAGGTTGTCACTGGCACCACCCAGTGGCAAACAGGGCTGTCTCTCATCTGAGCAGCTGTTTAAGAAAGAAGCATCAGCTAAGCACCAACAAGAGTTATAAAACATCATTGCCACAGCATTTTGTGACAAATGGTGCTTGTCAATAGCTGGAATTGTCTGTTCTGGTTGAAAATGTAACATCTAGACACATGTCAACAAAATTCCCCAGCCTTCTGATATTGGAGATCCTGGAATCATCTATTCAGCAAGACCTGCACTTCGGAAATTAGGCACATGCTGGTGGCAGTAACTGGGAGGAGACAGCTCTGATAGATTAGTCTCTTGAACTTTATAAATGAGGAGGACAGACTCTGCAGAGACATGGGCATTCATGCATGATAATACAAAGGGGTGGCATCTCTGCCAGTGCTGATACTCAAAGGGCAGGGAGAAGCATGGCTCCTGCAGGAGGTGCTCAGACCAGCACCTCTCATTCACAAGCCTGCCAAAAAACCCAGACAAAATCAGGTCCCTCATACAAGCCTGAAATTCCCTCACACCCGTTTAGGAGAGACAAAACTAGCTATTCAGTAGGTCGGACATGGATCTGGTCCTGCTTTAAACTGCTGCCATCTCGTGGTCTCACTCAGTCCTGGCTCCAACCATGATCAGTCACCAGGTCTGATTCACATGTCAGAACGATCAGGAAAAGGAAAAAAAGAACTTTGTCCAAGATTTCAGAGAACTTCTGGTCATCAGTAGGTGTGTAACACCTCTCCCCCCACTGTCAACTAATGCTGGATGTCAAAACCTGCAGTCATCTGCCATCCCGTGCACAGCAGGAGCACACAGCAGCCCTGAGATGTGCTACTGACATTGTATTTAGTTAGAGCTTGAGGATTACGGGAGGACGTGCCTCCCCACCTGCACCACACCAGAGTAAACAGCAAGAAAGGTCCTTGGGACTAAGCCCAGCAGCACACTGACAGCCTAAACCAGCCAAATTCTGGCTTTATCTTCATACAGATCTGGTTCTGCTGAGCTTCATGCAAGGACATGCACAGTTAACAGGAAGAAGGGTTTGCCTGAAAACAGCTCTGGGAAGAAATGAGGGTTCCCTCTATGGAGGGAAACTCTTGGGCAGGATCCCAAATGACAAAGAGCAGCGACAAGCACATCAGGCCCATCTGTGAAACCAGATTAGAGACTCCATCCACAATCAAACTTTTGCAGTGTAACCACCCAGTAGCTGGGCTGTGCCCTTGTGTGCAGCGTGGGCCCCTCGCCTGCACAACCTGGGACACCTCACACAACTCAGCTGTAATGCAGGGAGCACCAACCCAGCTGGTACCTTGCCATGTCCAGCCACATCACTCCTGTGCAATCAGAAGTCTGGATTAATTAATCCAGGAGAAGCTGCAAAGCTACCACAGAGATTTTTCAGAAAAAGCTAGTGAGCTACCAGCCTTGGTGGCAGCCCTTTCACCACAACTGCAGCCAGCTCATCTGGAAGGGGATGATCCTGCTCCTGTTCAAATGATCCTGACAACAAAATGCCCAGATAAAGGGGGAAGGCACCTTGACCATGTACCTACACACCTTGGCAGGACTTCAGAGCAATGCCCTGAACACCCCCAATCTCCCAGCACACAAGTCTATGGTAATCAGCTATTATTATATCAAAGATATGAATAAAAAACCCATAAAGACAAACAAAAAACCAAAAGGTTTCTGACAATGTCACCTCCAACTTAGTAAGATATCTTTATGATGAGGGTGATTAGAGCTCACAAAAACATACACCCCAATCTCTGCACAATAGGCAATTAGTGAGCCACAGATGGAATTGTTACAACCCAGCTAGAATGGTTGGTGCTTGCTGACGTGCCAGAGGCAGCCAGTTACAAAACCACAATAAAATCCTTCCTAAACATAAGTTTTGATCAGGAATTTTTTAACTCATGCTTAAAATCCTAATTTCTCAGAAGAGAGAACAAGTGTAGATTTCCCATCTAAAAAATTCTGCTCCATTAAGTGTCTAATGTTGCCTATTTCCACAAGTCATCAAAAGAGGAGAAACATAATACAAATATGAATGAGTTTAGATAAGGGTTGCAGTGACTGAAATGCATCATTTGCAGGGGAACAGGCCATAAGGGTAGAACCATCTGTACCATTTTTTGCAGTCAGCTTTCTCTTGATACCAGGTACTGATACATATATTTTACTTCAGAAGAGCCTCCAGGCAGGGCTGCTTTCCATCTGATCATGGAGTAATACTTCAATAAATATCAGCTTGCACACAAAGACAACTTATTTGGCAAACACAGCTCCTGGTCATCTGGAACCCCCACTGGAATTTCACATTGAGAAAGCAGCAGTGAGCTGGATGGTTTGATGAGGAAGATGAACCTTAATTAGGGGTGGATAGCTCCTGTGCTTTCCAGGGAACAGCTGTACCACAAAGGTATGAATTTCAAAGGAGAGCAAAGCAATAAACTTAACTGGAAGGAATGTCTGCATGTACTAAAAACTGCAACAAGATTAAACACTGTATTAAGTCAGAAGCTAGAGGAGCCCCAAACCTGATAAAATCTCTCCCCAGGAACCCTTAAAAAGCAAAAGTACAATGGCCTGTCTACAGGAAAAGCTGGGAAACCATACACTGAACACCAGCCACGTGATCCTCAAGAAGCCTGCAGGTCTGAAAACACAACACAGGCCCCTCCGTCACTACCACTCCTCCAAATTGCCCTCTGCTGCTGTGACTCCTCAGCTTCAGGAAGAGCAGGTGAGCAGGACATGAGGCAGGTACTGTGACCCTGCAGAGCTGCCATCAATGGCAGCAGCTGCAAAGGCTTTGCTGTCCCATCCTGTCCTCATTACCACCCAGGAGCTCATTAGTTGTATTGATGTTTTATTAGGAATCCCTGTGCTACTTCTGGTGGTTTATTTAGCAAATGGAGCACATGCTGCCTTTTGGTTTTTTGCCTCTTCTCTGCATTCATTTTGGTCAGGATTAAATGAATGTGGTTTTGAAACAGAGATTGTTGCTCTCATAACCAGCACTGGCTCATTTACGAACACAGTTAGCTCCATAGAGATCCATCAGCAGAAAGGGCAAACAAGACCTTATTAACTTACATCTTTTCAGCCTGAGCTCCTCAACTCACATTCATGTGGCCATAACCAGCAGAAGAAAACCCAAGGCTAGGAGCAGAGTGGGTCATTTTCCTTTCACAGCACACTCTGCTGCCTGTGAGCCAGTGCATGCCAGGGGCCAGTATTTAAGTGGAACTAAAGCAGCCCCATCAAGTACTTTTAGAGGCTGCAAGGCACACCCTCAACATGAACTTATAAAAAGCAGGTGTTCCCCTCTATGCCTCAGAATTGCCCAGGCAGAGTGAGCATCTTCAAGCAGTCATCAATATTCATGCAAAAACCTGGCATAAACCCCTCCCAGGGGGGCATACAGGAAAAGCAGCTTTTAAAAGAGCCAGATTTCAGAGGCAAGAGGTGCTTGTATCTTCGGACGGGCACCACTGCTCACAGAAGTTCCCTCCCTTGCTAGGAGTTGCAACACTGGTATGCTCAGTGGGTTCTGGGAGATCACAGGAAAAGATGCTGAATGAGAGAATGATGCAGTGGGGCACTTCAATCCATTGCCCATCATCTTTTGGTTACAAAATAATAGTGGAAGATGCCTGGTGTGGAAATGAGCTCTTCATTAGCTGTGATGAAATACTGATTTAGTATGTAATTTACTTCTGTAAGTTCTTGGTCCTGATCTCCACCTCTGCTCTGACAACTCATTTAACTTTATTAAAAACATTAAGTATTGATTTTCTCCACTCATTACAGGCCAGTGGATTTATCTGCATTAGTGAATTAATTCATCCAACCTCTCACTCCAAGAACAGCCAAAGCCTGCAGGAAAGCAGTAGCTACAAGCTGTCACCACGGGAGAAGCACCAAGCATTTCTTGCTCTTTTGACTCATCTGAACATTTCCTGCAGCACTCAAGACAGGCAACACAGGCAAAAGCCCCAAAAGACCTAAGAACTGAAGGAACTTTGTATTTTCTGAGGCAACAAGTTCTCTAACCAACGAAATCATCACAGCTGCAGTCAGGGAGCCCTCATGTTTCTGATCACCCGCCCATGACAAACCCAAGGTGCTGGCAGAACTTGTACATTACCATGGGGTTGGAGTCTGCAATCAGGTCACGCAGGGAGTCCAGGAACCCTTGGTCCTCCACCATCTGGGCGTTGATGTCGTGCAGCTTGGCCACGCAGACGGCGGCCGTTTTGCGCACGTAGGGGTCCTCGTCCTTCAGGCACTTGCGCAGGGGCTCGCACAGATACTCCGTGATCTTGTCCACCCGGATGCAGCCCATGGTGCGCACGGCCAGGGCACGGATCAGGGGGTTGGGGTCCTCACAGTCCTGCAAGGGGACACTGTGTGGGGAGCAGATCTGCACTGCCAGCCCTTGCTCCTTCCCTGCAGCCACACCAGCAGCCTGCTTGCTCCACACTAGAAGAATTCTCATTGATTACATGCTAAAAAAGGCAATTATTTCACATCAGGGATAAAAGGTAGAACTTACTGGTTCACAGAAACAGTCTGTACCATCTCAGAGATGTTTTCAGGCTATGATAGTTTGTAAAATTGTGATCTCAGTGTCCCTTGGTTCTCCCAGGCAAAGCTTCTTCCAGCATGATCTAGCAGCTACAGCTGAGCTGCAGAGGCAGCTCTTGCCACCTAAGAAGCTGCCACAGGCAACTTGTAGACAGAACTAAACACTGCTTTCCAGCCTCACCCTTTCAAAGCAGCAAGAAAATATAATGGGAAACTCAACAGCTGAACACAATGCAAGAGCCACCAAGGCCTACTTCTCACAGGCCAACAGTTCTAGACACAAGCACCCCCGAAGCTTGCAACATCTGGAGCACTGAGCAAAGGCTGGTCTGGAGGTGCTTTCCTGATGGAAAATAAGCAGAAGGGAATGTAACACCTCACGCTTCAGGCCTACATTAACCTTTAGGCATCTAATCCAGCTATATCTCTGAGCAATACTCCTCCAAAATCAGCCCATAAAACAATGGATGCAGCGTGGCCCACAAAAGCATAAGGTACATTTACTTGTCACTGTTTAAACTTCCTACAATGCCTTAAAGCATACAAGAGAAGAGACATCTCTTGGTGATGCATTCAGCACCTCAGACTGTGAATGGTGTGTGTGGTGCTGAGCCAGTGCAGACTAGTGCAACACCTTCTCTTTAGCACTTGCCCCTCAGCTGGCTGAAAGGAACAGCCACCATGCTGAACTGTGTCCTCAGGGGCCAAGGGAGCAAGTTACCTTCACAAAGCTGTTGACAGCCATGATGGCCATATCTGGCTGGCTTTTGGCATAGTTCATCAGGTACAGGTAGACTAGCTTCTTCAGCTCCAAGTTGTCGGTCTGCATGCAGTTCACAACATCAGGAAAGAGGGAGCTGGGCAGACAGCAGGAACAGAGAAAAGGAAGCTGTGATTACAGGGCATGCAAACGGGTAGCAACAGTATGAGGAACATTGGAGTTCCATTCTTGCTGCCCTGCTGTCTATTGAGAGGCCAAGTTCCTTCCCAAAACAGTTTGCAATGGCTTTTACGACACCTTGAGAAGCCTGTGACTCATGGCACAGGGGAGGACACAGCCAGCCTCGCCACCCACCTGAGATGACAAACCCACCAGCTGCTCCATGGAGCTGTGTGCCACTACACCCAGCTGACTGCCAGGAGAAGCAGAGCTGCTACAGGTGAAAGAAAAGTTGCTTTTACCTGACATCCTTCCCCACGGTCATGGCCGCAATAACCTTCTTTACAGCTTCTTTCCTCTTTTCTTTCTTTTCATTATTGAGCTCAGCCTTCAGTTCAAAAATCTCCCCTGGCAGAAGACAAAATAGATTGAACCTCTTGGGAGAAGAAAAGGGTCAGGCTTTAGGGATAACTTGAGTAACTTTTTACTTTTGCAGCCTGTTGTTCCCATAATACTGGTACAGCAACCTGTGGAAGCTGTCCCAGACCTTCTGGAGAACATGGTTCCCTGAGAAGCAAAGCTGCAACACTCAGAGAACCATTTGGGCTCCAAGCTGCTAATGAACAAGCAGTTAACAGAGCCCTGCTGCAGCTCTCCCACTGCCCGAGCATTAAACCACGTCACTGCAGCGGCTGTTTCTCAGAGACAACTATTGTACAACCCTGATAGAAAGATATTTGGAGATGCTGCATTAGTGCCTGCAAGAAAAAAACAAACAAACAACAACTAAGTGAAGCAGGAATTTTGCCCAGACTTTTAAACTTTTGCTCTTCATCCCCTGCTTCCTGTGAAAGCACCGAGGGAACAGCAGTTGCAGCATAGCCAATCCCAGGGCGTGCTGTGGCAGAGACAGGAAAGTACACATTTAGTCCAGCAGAATAAATTCCTTCTGAGCCAGACAAGTAACACAGCTTGCCTGGATTCTGAGGCTGCTGAAGCAGCTTTTCCCATTGACAAGAATTCCTCCAGATATTTCTGCATGGAAAGTCAGTTCAGGCTGGATCACAAAAGTGGCAAAGCAAGTTGGCAAAAGAAAGCAACATGTGTGACAGTCACCTCATCAACCTGTTCAGACAGAGCAGGTGCTGTAAGAAGGATAATGCTCCTGACAGATAGACAGCTTTGCCCAGGAAGGACAGAGAGCAGAATTCCCACTGGAAGTCACAGGCTGAATACACATTACAAATACCAAAATATCTCTGACAAAAATACTAGCCCCTAACCTTCCATTCCTACACACCAATGTCACTTTCTCAGAACAACTGCACTAATTACTGAAGAGCCTGGCACAAAAAGACTAAAAGGTGCTTCAAAAGAGAAGATAAGTGACTGAGGAGCACAGCACAGTGACCACTCATGACACCTCCTGCCTGGGAGAGAGAGCCCACATTACTCCCCCCAAGCCCATGCCCCAGAGCTGAGCCAGCAGCAGAGTGCTCAGGACAGGCTGGCCTCTTCCAGCCAGCCCAGCAAAGTCTGCCTCATACTTCAGGACTGAACTTACACATAGAGCTGCTCCTTAGGAAGATGTGAGCTGCTTAATTTATGGAGCTCACTCTGAAGCTTAATGAGATCCAAACAGATCAACACTAGGTTTTTTTCCACTGGTTTTATTCATCCAAAATACTCAGCCCTTCTGAAAAGGAGAGGTTCATGTGAACCATTTTCCACATCTACTAGAGAAAGATGAGCAACTGCAGCCAGCAAGTCAGGATAAACACTTTTGTTTGACAACAGGTTAGAAAAAACATCTGCCTGGACAGTTTCAGCAGAGCAAGTCCTCTGCTTAATGAGGGGAATGGGTAAAATGTCTCCAAAGAACCTTTCCTGTCTTCCCATTGTTAAAGGCAGCTTGTCCTGAGGTGAGGTGGCCACCATGCCTACAGCAAAGCCAAGGGCAAGAGTCACACAGAGCACTTCAGCTCTGAGGGAAACAGCAACAGGAAATCCCATTATTTTTGCAACAGCTTGATGTAAAGATCTACATTATACCTTAATTATTAAATGTCTCTCCAGCAACTTAATCCTGTGATGCCCAACAGAACAACCATCCTGCCTCAAACTGCTTAGTCCATAAATAAAACTTTGTCTCTGACCAGATCTGCACTCAAACACCAGATGATGGACCAGATGATCCCTGAAGTCACTTCCAACCTTGCATTCTGTTATTCTGTGATTCAATGATTTGTTCTCTGATCCTTGAAAAAGCAGCAATTTAGGTCATATTAAGAATCGCATCAGTTTTGCCTTTTGTTACCGTATGACCTACTTTAGAAGTTTCTCCCTGGATGATTAAGACAAGAAACAGGGACAGAGCTAACAGAAAGGCACAAGTTCTTCTGCATGCAGTTAAGAGCTGTGTAAAAATAGCCACCCACCACCTCCACTTGACAGCACCAGCTCAACACTGACCTTTCTTGTTGGTCGTGAAGTACTTGGAGTCCGTCATGGTTCCAGCTCCTTGAAACACCTGAGAAGGATGAAGGAGAACAAGCAGTCAGAGCATTCAGAGCTGACAACACCCAGCTTGCCAGAGGCTCAGAGGGAGGATGGTGAGTGGGTAACAAGAGGGAAGCAGCAAATGCTTCACAGCCACAGGCACATTTTCACAAGCTTCATTCTGCACCTTCTGCTGGTATTTCTTGGCAAACCCAGGGATTTCAAGGGCTCAGATGAACAACAACGGTGAAAACACAACAGCCTGAGGTGACAGGCTGGGAAAGCAGAGGTGCTCAGCCCAGCTTTTTAACTCTCCATCTCAGAAGGGAAAAGCTGGTTTTTAACTCCTTATAATCAGCAGATCTTGACAGGTTCTGCAGCTCCTTCCCCTGGGCACACAATTCTGTTTTCCAAGCACTGCACATTTAATATCCCGGCTGGAAGCGACAAGTCCACGTCTCAGACAAAGGAAACTGTCAACTCCCCCTAACGAGACTTTCCTGTGTTGCATCTGATGGAAGGAACAATTAACCCACTGGCAGTACCCACCCCAGGCCCTTTCATTGCTTTTCCTTCTTTTGTTCATCAGAGATGCAAAGCAGGGTTCTTGAAAAGAAAAGCCGTTACTTTTCAGTTCTCTCAAGCTTAAAAATGCAACCTTTCTCTGCCAAACCTGACATCCCCACGACCTGATTATTTCAGTTCCAGGCTGCACTTTTGTGGACAGGTCTGAAAATGCTGCTGGGACAGCAAGAAGGAAATGGTCTGACCAGCACTTTCCTTGCTCCACAGAACCTACTTTAATACCTTAGAATATATAGAAACTGGCCAAACATATGTGGATTTTATCCCTACAATTGCCAGCTCTGTGACAAACATGACTCAAGCAATTTTCAAGTACTGGCTGAAAAACAAGCCTAGGAGAGGGCAGTTCTGCTGGTTTTGATGAAACAGTCTGCACCAGTGCTAAGAAACTACAACCCTGAAACCATACCAAAAAAGGATTTTTCCTGCCTCCTTCCTCCTTTTCCTATTTTTTTGCCCAATTCCTCTTCTCTTATACATACCTCATGACCTTAAACACCACCAGCCATGCAGCAAGTCATCTGTTTCCCAGACACTGCCTGTCTTGCCTCCAGCCCTTGTGCTGGCTCAGCAGCAAGAGGCCCAGCTCAGCTCTGAGCCCCAAGGTTGCAGTTCCTCAAAACCCTCCTTCCTCATCCCTTGACCAGCCCCAACACCACCACCACTCCTTCCCCCCCATCCACCTTGATCAGTGCAATACCCCAGCAGTTCCATTCCTAGCAGCACAGCTGGGGGGTAACACCAGTTTCTACCTCCTCCCTGTGCCCTGCAGCCCGGCCAGGCAGAGCAGGGGTGCTCCTGACAACTGCCAGGCAACCAGCTGAGAAACCATCTCTTGCTGAGAGCACTTCCCCAGAGCTCCTGCCTCCCTGGGCCTCTGTGGTTACCACCTCATCCCAATTAGGCAGCACTACTGGGTTTGGTTTGATTTCTCTCCCTTTCTCCTCCTGCCAAGCTAGAGAGCAAACTATGCCTAGGGACAGCTCTGGAAGAACTTTCCCCCCTGCAGGAGAGGTTTGCCCTTCTTCCAAACCAGCAGCTGGGCTGGGAGAGCCACACGAGCCACAACTCTGCTATCCTTCCAGCTAAAAAAATGCCAACAAACAAGCCCAGCAACCCAAAAGAAGTTGTTGTGGGTCTTCTGTAATTGAAAACACAGCCCTTGTTCAGCTGCAATGTTGCTGCTGACGCAGCCCTTCGGTTTTGAGCTCAGCTTAAAAAGATGACTTAAATGTTTTCCTCTACAAGAGTTTCTGGCATGGTGCCCTGCAGAAGGCTCTGAACACAGCCTGGCTGGTCTTTGTTTGCATTATTATATGTGGATTTGCCAGTGTGGGTCACACCTCCCAGATGAGCTGGGCTGATACTGCTTTAACAGTGCCCAGAGCAGCAGATTACAGAGAAAATCCAGGAGGAAAAGAAAACAACCAACCACCAGACACATCAGTTCCACATCAGTTCCAGAGACTACCTTTAAGCCCAAGAGCAAGACATCTTGCTGTTTTCCTAACTTCAGATCACACACTTGGAAGAACCCTAAACCCCCTCAGAGTGGGAGAAAGGCCTGCACAGCACATGTCTTCACAACCTCTTTGGGTAGATGTGAGGAAGCTCTGACTTTGCTCAGTTAGCAAACTGCCCTGTTCCAAGTGCAGCTCAGGAGAAAGCTCTTTGTGCCCCCAGCACACAGATTGCTGCCTCACGTGTGTCAGAGCTTGCCTTGCCCACAGCCAGCAGCATTAGCTCATCCCTGAGCACACTCAGTGTGGTTTGCAGTCCCAGAGAAGGGCCAGAAACAAACCAGCCCAGAGACACAAATAGCAACGTTTTAAATAACTCAAGAAAATGCCAGCTTCTTGTACACAAACCTAAACTGAGAGCCAAGATAAACTGCAACAACATCACAAATATTCTTGTATTTGTAGGAGAAATCTACATCAGATTCCCCCTGCTAACTGCTGTCCTGTGTCCAGCACTTCTAGGGTGGGAACAGGTAAGAAGTGTTCCAGCTGACAGCAAAAGGCTCCTGCCCCAAGCCCAGCAAACAAGCAGAGACAAATCAGATGAATTTCTGCTGAGGCTCTGGCAAGGCTTAGTGCTGTAAGCATTGGCTTGACATTTAAACGTAGACTGAACCACAAACATGATGAAATGAAAAGCTTAAGGAACCACCATAACCAGAAAAATAAGCCTCCTCAGCCCAAAACCACACAGAAAACTGGACCCTGCACCTGACCAACACCTGCTTTGCCCCACACATGGCTTCAAACAACAGCCAGACCAGCTCCCCACACAGGAGGGTGGCAAGTTCAAGGCCTCAGTACTGATCCAGGCTCCTCAGCATTGAACAAACCAGTGCTAAATCTCTAAAGAGATGCCCAGTTTGACCTGACTGATGCTCCAGCTGGTGCCACCACCTCCCACCTGCACCCACTTTGTCTGCAAAGCCTCCTGAGATGCCAGACCCAGCCCCTGGGGGTCTCGTCCTGCAGCCCCACCAGCACATGCCAGGGGCAGGTGATTCATTTCCGTCCTGGGGACCAAGCACCTTTGGAGCTCCCCACCCCATCCTCAAGTGCCACACTTGGGTTCCTGTCACCTCCCCGCTCCTCAGACCTCCCAGCCCAGCTGGGCCTCCAGCTGGGCTCTCCCTCCCACCAGCCCCCCCATGGCTCGCTCTGCTCGTTCCCCTCCCACC